AAAGATTTTTGCCTTTTAAAAATTCTGGACTTAACATTTTGGCTAAATGTTTTGCCTAGATATGCTCCCCCTCTCCGATGAATGCCTTCCTCCAGCATCATCCAATATCCCAGGTCCCACAACCCAGAGCAATGGCTCACAGGGACTCCTGATAGACCAACAACCATAGGTAGGGTTAACTCTATGCCCCTCATCAACAGGAAGCAGTTGGAACATGAGACCTCTACCCCAATGCCAAAAATCTGTCATTGCTATTCCATCATGGGGGAATGTCGATTCCTCATAAGTAAGCAACAATGAGAAAGGGGCCTCAGGTGGGGAAATGCCCCAGGTAGGGAAGAATAATAAACAATTGTTCTGAGAGATGACCTCATTCCACACAATGGCCTCATTCTGCACATAGCCCTATGCAGTACAACCCTATAAAACTTCCCTTCCACCCCTGCCTCTTTGCAGATAGCCCCTTCTCTGCTGTACTGCCTATTGCAATTTTGCAACATATTTTCATACTTTCTTTAATAAATCTGCCTTTCTTTACCTACAACTGTCTTGGTAAATTCCTCTACTACCTGTGACACCAACCCCAGATAGTCACATCTGTGAGAAACGTATCCTCAGTGGTCCAGAAGATATGCTGCCTGCCCCAAACAGTGTGTCAAAACCATCTGGCCACATAACAGAGTACACGCTAGGGAACAATTCATTGAAACTTCCAATGAAGATCAGGTAGGGGATTTTCCAAGTGACAGGTCAGAAAAGGAGGCCTCATCTTTGGTCACGGTGGACTCAAAAGCAAATGAAAATCTTTCTGTTGAGAACATACTGAAGCAGTTTCCCTGTTGCAGGGCATTGGAGAAAGCCCCATGGAAGACCAAGGCAGCCTCAAGAACATGGAATATATGTCTCCTCTGCACATGATTTATGAAGGCAACTATAAGGATGAAGACTCTTCAGCTGCTCCTGAAGTTCTCAGCATAACATCTGGCAAATCAATGGATGAGGAAGAAGATGGTTCCCATATGTGAACTTCACATAATCTTGAGTGGATTCTGGAAAATCTCAGTAGCGATGAGGATGACTCTTCAGCTTCCCATAAGGGCCACATACACAATGACCTCATTCTGAATGTTCTGCAGATCTGAAAAGAAGATGCTGGCAATATATCAACTTTAGGAGAAAGTAAGTGGATTCTGAAGAGGATATGCGATGAGAAGGACTCTCCAGCTCCCTGACCACCTTCACATCACCAGCACTCTCTTCAGGGTGCAACCTCTACACCAAGGTCTCTGAGCAGACACCAGAGTGAGGGAAAGATGGAGCTCCTTACAGCTAGAAAGTTATTTCTCATCCTGATAACTCTCATTTGCATCATACAGGTCCCATTAGTACAGTCATCTCCAAATGGGCCACTCTTCTGTTACCCAGAATAATTTTCTCATTACGTTGGGACTCCAAGTATAGATGTTTTCCTCCTTGCCGTCTACTGTAAGAGTCAATTAACAGTAGGCTCCAGTCACTGGACTTGTGGTCAGCCTTATTCATAGGATCTCAGAGTTCACCTATAGAAAAGAAAACTGCTTGGTGTTTGGTGACTGCCATAAATTAATAAGCATAGTGCACTACCTGAACTTTGTCATTTTTGTCTTTTTCATTTTTTTATCCATCCTGGCTATCCTGGGAATCTCTCTGTTCACTAAACCCATTCCTGTTGTACATACTGTCTAAACTGTTCAACATGAATGATGTCTTATGCTAATGAGGATAAGGAGACACCCTCACTCTAAAAAGCTGTTAGAAAGAACCTATGTGAAGGACCAGTGGGACAATTTATCTATCTTGCTATTTCATTAATTCGCTATGAGACTACATGCTTGGGTTGGGCACCATGCTCTCTGCCTGTGCTTAGGGCACCAGGTGAGGAGCTAAAAGGTCACCTGTGGGGCCACTAGTGATGGCGACACTTGGCTGGAATGCTCCTGGCCCCAGGCCAGCCACCAGGCATCCCAATAGCTGGAATCACTGACACCCCTGCCTCCCAGCATAGGACCCAGGCAAGGACCAATGGACTCCAGAGCACTCGCTGCCCAGAGGCCACAGATGTTTGATGTAGTAGGGGCATCTCTTGGCGGGATCCAGCCTGGGGAACCAGCCTGGGGAACTGAAAGCTCCACAGCTGTAGGGATAATACAGTGCCCACGTCCAGGATTTGAGGTAGGGTAGTTGTATCAGAGTCAGAAGACTGGGGCAAGTTGCCTGTGGACTTCTGAGAGTGAAAAGAAGTCAAGCGAAATGTTTGTCTTCGTCCTTGCCCTCATGCCAGCAATATAAGCCTCAGGCTGGGATTTCTTTTAAAGCCCATAGTATTCCCTCACCTAAGTCCTAGTATAATCATTTCCTTGAGTGCCTGTGCAACAGCTGATGTGCCAAGCTCCATGTTTGTATCTGATCTTCACAGCAGCCTTAAAGCATTATCCCATTTCACCTCCAAGGAATCTGAGGCTGTGAGATAAATAACTTGCCCATGATGAGTAGAGAAGCCAGGACTGGCATCGGAAGCTGCTTTTCTCTGGAGCCTGGAGTGTTCGTCCTGAAGCTGCTCTTCTGCATTCTCTGCGGTTGGTGCTTTCCAGTTACTATTTGTGCTTTACCAAGAGCAGTTGGCCCTACTGCCTTCCTCGTCCCTTCTTCCCTTCCTTAATCTGGTGACTTCCTGTGGCCAAGAAGAGGGTCTGCAATACTGTTGCTCTACTTCATGTAAAATGACTGAAATCTTGTGGAGAAATTGTGAAGTGAACTTGGGAAGCACACTAAAGAAACCTATGTTGGAAGCTTAGAAAAAAAAAGTACCTGGAGACAAGTACTCCAATAGAAGCTCTGCCTTTACCATGAGAACATGCCAGGGCCAGCCTGCTGGAGGGAGACATGTGGAGCAGAACTAAGTCACCCCAGCCAACCTCCAGACCTGTGAGGCACCAGCTGATAGCTGGCTGTTCCCCAGTCTCATGAGTGAGCCCAGCTGAGACCTGAAGAGCTGCCTAGGCTAAATCACCAACTTATAGATTTGTGAGCTCAAAGGAAATGATGAAGAAAGTGTTCTTGGAATTCCCTTCTGGCAGAGTCTTGTAAGCTTTGCTTTCATTTGTTAGTGAAATGCTTGACATTTTTCCCTCACTTGATTTATTTCTTTAAAGACAAGAGTCTTACTCTGTCGCTCAGGTTAGAGTGCAGTGGTGCCATCTTGGCTCACTACAACCTCTGCCTCCTGGGTTTAGGTGATTCTCCTGCCTCAGCCTCCCAAGTAGCTGGGATTACAGGTGTGTGCCACTACCCCCAGCTAATTTTTGTATTTTTTTAGTAGAGATTGGGTTTTACCATGTTTGTGAGGCTGGTCTCAAACTCCTGACCTTGTAATCCACCCACCTCAGCAGATCTGCCTACCTTGGCCTCCCAAAGTGCTGGGATTACAGGCATGAGCCACCACACCCTGCCTTTTCCTTCACATTATAAACATTATGTACACATTATTCAGAATTCTAATAGGAAGTTATTTCCCCCTTCCTGGCCAACATGGTGAAACCCCATCTTTACGAAAAATACACCAATTAGCTGGGTGTGGTGGCATGTGCCTGTAATCTCAGCTACTTGGGAGGCCAAGGCAGGAGAATCACTTGAACCAAGGAATAGGAGATTACAGTGTGCCAAGATCGTTCAATTGCACTCTAGTGGCAACAGAGCAAGACTCAGTCTCAAAATAAAAGAAAAATGCCATTTTACTTGAAACCATGCCTCAGGAACAAACAGTACAGGACACCTTTACACTTGCAAATTCCACTCACAAATGATGGAAGTCCAATGTTTGGTGAGACAGGGACTTAAAGCTATTGCCACGGGAAATTTAGAAGAGCAGTCTAGGATAGGCATAGGCAAATGGCAGACAGTGCCACACAGTAGAGTTTGTAGCAGTGGAGAATCCAATTATGGGACACTGAAATTTTTTTAAGCCAACTTTTGCACATCTGTGATTTCTGGCTGACCAGCACCCTTCTAAGAATTTAATCTACCTAGACACTGCACTACTGGCCAAGGAGGGGACAGAAGCACTGATGTGCATGGCCTAAATGAGGAAACCAAAGAATTCACTCTCTTATCAGTGTTTTTCCTTCCAAGTCAGATATACACAGTGGACTTCCTGTGAGACCATTTGCTGACCACAGAATGTCTGCAATCATGAATCTTGGAAATAAATAATTCCCAATGCTCTTAAAAAAATACACTATGATCTGTGAACTTTAAAAACTGACTTAAAGTAGCAGTAATTATTTTAGAGAAGGTCATGAATACCATTATGGCCCTAGTCCAGCAGTCCAGTAAAGAGAAATGCTTTGACAGATTTTTAGCAGAAATAAATAGTACCTGATTCAAGTTACAAAGAATTTCAAGAAGTCCTGAAAGAATGCTTTTAAAAAAATAGAAGTGGCTTTAGTAGATGAAAGGCAATGATTAAGAAACTTGAGAACCAATTATTAGCAATGTTAGTGAGAAGATGAAATTTTATGTTATTAATAACTGTTTCCCTAAAGAAAAAGAAAAAAAAAAGAGTACAAAAAATTTAAGAGTAAAAAGTTTTAAAAATTTTAAATAGAAATTGTATGTTAGTCATATGAACAACAAATTTTAAAAGGCAATTACAAATTCTAAAAAAAAAAACTATAAATGTGCAATAAAACAATGGCGAAGCATAAAGTTAATTACAATGAACATTACTTTGAGAATATATGGGATTATAAACATTAAAAAATGATACTTGGCCAGGAATGGTGGCTCACACCTGTAATCCCAGCACTTTGGGAGGCCAAGGTGGCAGGACCACTTGAGTGCAGGAGGTCGAGGCTACAGAGAGTCATGATCACACCACTGCACTCAACCTGGGCAAGAGAGAGAGATGCTGTCTCAAAAAAAATTTTGTATTTATTTTCAAAAATGATACACAAAAGTATTACCTTGAAACTTCCCAGGTGTGATTTTTATTCATTGCATTCATTCATGCGTATGTCTTGGATCTATGGAGAAAGAAATTTACACATTATTAATAGCAAAAATATGATTAAATCAACACAGAAACAAAGTATGGACAACTTAATTATAGTCACAGAAAACCATTTAAACTCTATGAAAATTAGCCATTTAAAAATAATGATAGAGTTGGCCAGGTGTGATGGCTCATGCCTGTAATCCCAGCACTTTGGGAGACCGAAAGAGTTGGATAACCTGAGGTGAAGAGCTTGAGACCACCCTGGCCAACACTGCAAAACCCCGTCTCTACTAAAAAATATAAAATTAGCTGGGAACAGCGGTGGGCACCTGTTATTCCAGCTACTTGGGAGGCTGAGGCAGGAGAATCGCTTGAACCCGGGAGGCAGAGATTGCAGTGAGTGGAGATCACACCACTGCACTCCAGCCTGGACAAGACAGGGAAACTCCATCTCTCTCTATCTCTCTCTCTCTCTCTCTCTCTCTCTCTCTCTCTCTCTCTCACACACACACACACACACACACACACACACACACGGAGTTAGAGCTGACAGAATCTGGGAGTGGATTACGTAAGAAACACATAAGGATTCCAAGTATTTTTTAAGATGAAGTTTCACCACGTTGGTCAGGCTGGTCTTAAACTCCCTACCTCAGGTGATCCGCCCGTCTTGGCATCCAAAGTGCTTGGATTACAGGTGTGACCCAACACGCCTGGCCCAAGGATTCCAATTGTTATGGGACCTTGTGAATATTAAGAACATAGATACATAAACATGATAGATACAGAAACAGAGCTTGAGAACGCACTTCAAAAGTTACAAACATAACCACTAGACAAACTGAAAATAATAGTGAGATAAGAGTTGGGTAGCAGAAACAAGTAGAATGATTTTGTGATGAAATAAAAATTTGATTTTTTTGAAATTGTGAGTCCTGAAGGACGTTTTAAGGCTTTTTTTAGAATTTTGCAGGAAAATACCAAAACAATTATAAACAGAAACAAAAACTGGAAATCTGTAGCTGAGTAGGTATGCTATATTGCCTGTGCTGGGCTCTTCAGAACAGTACAGAGGAACAAATCAATTTACATGCAGAAAAGACAGAATGAAGTAATTTTGGTACTGCTGTTATTGCCCAGCACTGACTATTAAGCATGGAGAAGTCTTTTAAGAAAGCTGCCTGCATCCTCTGTGGCCACCTGAAGCTGCTGCCCACGTTTCTCAGGGGGAGGCCAGGGATGATTAGCCCTGATTTGTACAGCCTTCCCAATTGGGCAAGGTAGAAATAGAAGCTCTGCTATTCTCCTCTTAACATGGAATCCCCCTCTTCACAGCTCCTACATTGAGTGGGATAGACTGGGTCTCCAGACCTAAAAGTTATCCTCATAACTCTCAACCACATTGTTTGGGTTTCACTGGTACAGGTATCTCCAAATGGGTCTCTCCTCCATTACGCACAATGGCTAGTTACTTTGGGCCTCCATTTTTAGCTATTTTTCCACACATCATCTACTGTCGTCTACTGTGAAAGAGTCAATGAGCAGAGGAGCCTCTGGGGACTCACTGGATTGTTTTCAGCTCCTTGAGATGATCAGTTAATTCCCTGGTGGCTGGTGACTGTTCTGAGACTGAGTGTGCTGCCTGTACTTCATCACTATGGTCTGTTTCATGTTCATCCTATTCTGGGAATTTCCCTATTCACCAAACCCTTTCTTGCTGTACATGTGAGCCATGACTCATGATTAAAATGTTAAAGCATGTTCATTTCTAAAAGAAAAGAAAATAAAGAAATACTTTTCAGCCATTAAGAAGAATGAAATTGGCTGGGTGCAATGGCTCACACCTGTAATCTCAGCATTTTGGAAGGCCAAGGTGGGTGGATCACTTGCGCTCGGGAGTTAGAGACCAGCCTGCCCAACATGGTGAAACCCCATCTCTACTAAAAATACAAAATTAGCCAGCCATGGTGGCAGATGCCTATAGTCCCAGCACTTTGGGAGGCCAAGGCGGGCAAATCACCTGAGGTTAGGAGTTTGAGACCAGCCTGGCCAACATGATGAAATACAAAATTTTTATATACAAAATTATCCAGGCATGGTGGTTGATGCCTGTAGTCCCAGCTATTGGGAGACCGAGCCAGAAGAATTGCCTGAAGTAGGGGGGTGGGGCTGGTGGCGGAAGGTTGCATTGAGCCGAGATCATACCATTGCACTCCACTGGGCAAAAGAGTGAAACTGTCTCAAAAAAAAAGAATGGAATGCTGTCATTTGCCATTTGTAACAACACGGATAAAGCTGGAGGTCAGATTTCTGGGAAGAGAAATAGGTCAGGGCTGGGTTAGCAATGTCTGCATTCCTCTGCTGGGCAGCCCATCTTCTACAGCTATGTCTCTTGCCTTGTTCTATTGACCCTTCCTGTGACTGTTTATTCCTATGAATAGTCATGGCTTCCTCCTATTGCTATTCCCCAGGTATAGCAGCATTGCTATTTGTTTCCATTTGTGATCTTAATTTATTGTTAAACAACAATTTAATATTACAGATCACTTTAGACAATTTTATTTGCTAAGGTATTCATGTACTTGTGTACGTATATATATATATGTATATGTATATGTATATTGTTCACTTAACTCTGTAATTTACTTCAATTTTCAATACAGCCATGGAGTGTATATACACAAGCCTAGATGGTATAGCCTACTACACGCTTACGCTATATGGTATAGCCTATTGCTCCTAGGCCACAAGCCTGTCTAACACATTACTGTACTGAATATTGTAGGCAGTTGTAAATCATATAAGTATTTGTTAGGTACACATGGAAAAGGCACAATAAAAATATGGCATAAAAGATTTAAAGATTATAGTCTTGTATAGGGCACTTCATAAATGAGGTTTGCAGGACTGGAAGTTGCCCTCAGCAAGTCAGTGAGTGACTGGTGAGTAAACGTGAAGACCTAGGACATGACTGTACAATTAGGCTACACTTTAAAAACTTTTTCTTCAATTAATTAACCTTAGCTTACAGTAATTTTTTTACTCTATAAACTTTTAAACTTTTTGACTCATAACACTTAGCTTAAAACACAAATACATTGTATAGCTGTACAAAAATATTTTCTATTTTCACTCTACAAGCTTTTATTAATTTTAATTATTTTTGTTTTTTTTTTTTTTGAGACAGAGTGTCCCTCTGCCACCCAGGCTAGAGAGTAGCAGTACAATCAGGGCCTACTTCAGATTCAAACCCCAGGATCAAGCAATCATACCTCAGCTTTCTGAGTAGCTGAGACTACAGGTGTGCACCACCATACCTGGCTACTTTTTAAATATTTTGTAAAGATCAGGTCTCACCATGCTCCCCAGGCTAGTCTCAAACTCCTGGGCTCAAGCAATCCACCTGCCTCGGCCTCCCAAAGTGCTGGGATTACAGGCGTGAACCACCATACCCGGACCATTTTTTACTATTTTTATAATTTTTTATTGTATATATTTTACTTTTTAAACTTTTTTATTAATAACTGAGGCACAACCACACCCACTAGTCTAGGTGTACAGAGGGTCAGGATCACCAATATTGCTGTTTTCCTCCAAATCTTGTCCCACTAGAAGGTCTTCAAGGGCAATAACCCACACTATTTCAACACACACTAATTTAACAATGTTTTCTTCTGGAATACTTCCCGAAGGACCTGCCTGAGGCTGTTTTACAGTTAGCTTTTTGCATAAGTAGAAGGAATATACTCTAAAAAGTCTGGTATAATAAATGCATAAACCGGTGAGAGTTGTTTATGATCAAGTATCACAGACTGTATATAATTGTGTATGTTATACTTTTATAAAATTGGCAGTGCAGGTTTGTTCACACCAACATCACCACAAACTCATGAGTAATGCATTGCACTACAACAGCGACAACATCACTAGGTGGAATTTTTCAGATCAATTATAATCATATGTGTGTGTATATATATACACACACACACACACACACACACACACACACACGGTCCTTCATTGACTGAAATGTTCTATGGCACCTGGCTATAGTTCTTAGTCTTGTTTATCTTTGCATGATTGTAACTTTTTAGATGACAATAAATACTGTTTACCATTTTTGTATCCCCAGACTTAAACAGAACACCTGCCACACATATCTGGTGGACAAACTGATTCACTTTAATATAGCACCCAAGATTTACGAACTATAGAAATTATCCCTGAAAATACAGTCTTCACCCAAGATTAATATTACCATCTTCAGCAAGAAATTAAAGTTGTATTTTACCTTGAGCAGACTAAAGCCTCTTGAAAACAAGATATTATTCTTGACAGATTCTACCTATGTGAAGCTTTAAGAAAAAACTACCTAATCTTTATTTTAAGGTCAAAGCATGTGATTCTTCTAGAGAAAATATTTATCTCAATTTAAGCTTATTGCTCTGCAATATTTTCTCGTGTTCACAATTGTACCATTCTCTAACGCTGGACAAATCACATGTCATCTCAGAACCTTGAGGTCCAAATGATAAAATGAAGAAAATGACACTTTATATCAGAGAGGAGTTGTGCAGAAATAGATGCTAATCATTAAGCATAGTTCTTAAGAAAACAGGCAGGTAACCAAGAAAATAAATGGTAACAATTTTGAACTTTCAGAGAAGTAGTAAAATAACTTCATAACACAATTAAAGCATATTATTATGCAGGTTCTTCTAATGTTGCCATCTTTATGGGAGGTAATTTCTCTGAGATAAAATTCTTGTAACATGTTACTACATCAATAAACAAGGCTTAGAAGATAAAGCACCTCTCTGAGTCCATCTTATAATGTCACATCTAAACTTTCATAAGGAAGGCATCAAAGCAGTCCCACATTATTATATATATTGAAAATAAAAATAACTATAGTTGAACTTATGTTTAAAAACTAAATTCCATTTGCTTTGTACCCATTACTCTCCATTCTCTCTGTGGACTGTACTTACATCACAAAGGACATAACTGAGACCGTTGGCAAATTCTGATATGAATGTTTTAATAGAAAATAATATTGTCTTAATGTTAAGTTTTCTGAATTTGACAACTGAATTATAGTCATGAAGAGAATGTTCTTGTTCTCAGAATATACCTACTGAAATATTTAGGGGCAAAGAGGCATGACATTTATAATAAATTCTCAAATAATGCATACTGGGGGGAGTTATATATTTAGAGAGAAGTAATAAAGCAAACTTAACGAAATGTTAACAAACCACATAAACTTTCTGGAATTTTGTTTCTTCATCTGCTTAGAGACAAAAAGAGGGCTGAACTATTTTGGTTTTATTCACACTGTCATGAAACTCATTTAGGAGTTGAGGTCAGCATTAGAAAAGTGTTATTAATTAGTGAATCTGGATAAGAGATTTAAAAGCATTCTTTGTATTCATTCTTTGATAAGTCTGAGATTTTTTCAAAATCAAAACTAAAATAAACTAATACCATATTTATGTAACACAAAGGCACTCTAAGCATGAGAAGCTAATGGTTAACTATATGGTACCTGTATACTTCCCCTCCAAACTAACTGAGTTATATGCTTACAAGAGTCCATTTATATTTGTACCCTAAAGTATTTATGCCTATTATACTTGTAAAATCTATTTAAATATGTAAACTAATGAAATACAAATAGAAAGTTATTTTCTATGAAAACTGAATTGATAAAGATGAACAACAAACAAAAATTACTATAGAACTAGGCACAGGTAAGACAAATCTGTAAAACTTTGGAGAAAAAAAGCTGCATAAAAATCTAGACTGACTGGGCATTTAAATTGCTTGAAAGCTATCTTTAACTTCTTACTCCACTTTGAAGAAAATGAAACTGGAAACTGTAAACAATGCGACTTATAACAAAGACAAGGCAGGTATACCAAACAGCAAATTCATGCTCAGATAAAGGTTTTAGGCCTATTACCAAGACTAGCGAGTGAACATATAATTATACACTGGAGTCAAAATAAAATAACTAAAGTATATATTTGCCATTTTTTAATATGTACCACTTTAGCTGACTTTTTAAATTCACTGATGAACTGGTCCCAATTTTAGGGGAAGACAAGACCTCTACCAGTGTTCTAAATGAAAAGGTGATATACAGGGTAAAAATATTCAAACAGTTCAAAACCCTAAAAATCAAAAAAGTTTCCCTTCTGTGTTAGTCTTCTAGGGCTGCTATAATGAAACAACATGGACTAGGTGGCTTAACTACAGAAATTTATCTTCTCACAGTCCTGGAGGCTGCAAGTCTAGGATCAAGGGGACATCAGGGTTGGTTTATGGTGTGGCCTCTCTTTCTGCACTGCAAATGGCCATCTTCTCTCTGTGTTCTCATATGGCCTCTTCTCTGCCGATGAAACTCAGACACCAGCTCTACAGGATTAGGGTTTTGCCTTTTTTTTTTTTGTAGAGACAGGGTTTCACCATGTTGACTGGGATGGTCTTGATCTCTTGACCTGGTGATCCACCTGCCTTGGCCTCCCAAAGTGCTGAGATTATAGACGTGAGCCACCGCGCCTGGCTGGTTTTGCCCTTTTGACTTCATTTAACCTTAATTATTGTCCTAAAGGCCCTGTCTCCAATTAGTCACGTTGGAAGTTAGGACTTCAACATATGAATTTTGAGGGGACATAATTCAGCCCACAAAACTTTCCATGCGAGACTCCCAGTCATCCTGGTGTGTATGTGCTGCTCAAATGGAAGTAGACTCTACACACTGTTTTGCACCTTACTTTTCTCACCTTATAGCATCACAGAGGTCTTCCATGTCAGCACATATAGATCTATCTAGTTCATTTTAATGGCTGCATACTATTCTATTGAATGGCTACGATATGATTTTTATTTCAGCAATTTCCTATTGCTGAACAGTTAAAAGTTTTTTTTCACTCTATTACAAAAATCCTGTAACAAATATTTTTATAGAAAACTTTTATATACAACCTGTATAGTCATGGGATAAATTTTAGAAGTAAAATTGTTAGATCAAAAAGAACTTCAAATAAAATTGTGATATATATATATAATTACCATGAACTTTTAAAAAAAATACACCAATTTATATACTCCTACAGTGTTTAAGAATGCTTGTTCCTCCCACCCTGCTTCCATACCACACATACACACGCGCACACACACACACATATCGTAGTATCAGATTTTTTTTATTTTTGCCATTGAGCTAACACAAAGGATCAAACTGTCAAATCAGGTTCAAATCAGAGATTTTACTCAGTATCAAGCTTTACTAATAATTTCAAGCATACCAGTAAATGCATCCTGGCCCAGGATAGTAGATGTGGTTTCTAAATCAAGTGTATAGTCACCCCACTTACACAGAAGGAGCCAACTCAGTTATGAAACACTTGCATTTTATGCTAAGTTACATAACTTCTACAGTATTTTCCAGTGAATCATATCCCTGAAATTCATGTTGATTCTTTTTTGTTTTGTGAGAGGGAGTCTTGCTCTGTCACCCAATCTGGAGTGCAGTGACGCGCTCTCTGCTCACCGCAAACTCTGCCTGTCTGGTGCAAGCAATTCTCCTGCCTCAGCCTCCAGAGTAGCTGGGATTAAAAGTGTATGCCACCACACCCAGCTAATTTTTGTATTTTTGGTAGAGATGGGGTCTTGCCATGTTGGCCAGGCTGGTAACTCCTGACCTCAAGTGATCCGCCTGCCTCAGTCTCCCAAAGTGCTGTGATTACCACATCGATTCTTAGTGTGTCTACCATAAACAATCCCAGCCCTGGGACATCTTGCTAGGAGAACTCCATAACATGGACTCTCCTGACTGCCAATACTATTGGTTTGTTTGCCAGGAGGTCTCTAATTACCATATTTATAAAATTCACATGCTTGCTTGCTTGCTTGCTTGCTTTCCTGGGAGTATTTCCCTACTAAGGGAGAGACTGGATTGCAGATCTTCTGCTTAACTCCTTCTTTCTCGGTCACTGATAGATGAAAAATGGTATTTCCTTGTTTACTTTTACATTTTAAGTAATGTTGAACATTTAGCTACAAAATACTAAAAACTAGAAGGCAGATGAATTAAGAGGCAATTACCGTAGTAGACTTGAGAAGCAGGAATCCCAAGCGGTCCATGAAGCAACCTGGTATACACAGCAAAACCCTTCATAAGGCTCAGGAACTGGAAGCACCAAGTAAAGCTGAAGAGAGCATGAAGTAAGCTAGAAATAGGAGGAATGATAGAAAGACTGTTTAAGAATGAATCAAATGCTCAGATTCTCTTCGCTATCCCATCAAAAGCTGAGAGATTTAGTCTTGGAAGACAGCAAAACGCAAATTCTCTAGCTTGGATGACAGCAGGCCCTCTTAAGGAAGAAGGTGTCATGTTGAAAAGGAGAAAAATTAGAGGACTAACATCTGAATAACTGAAGCTCACAAAAAAGAAAACAGAAGAGGAAATAAGTAACTCAAGTCTGCTTGGAGTTCTGACCCAAGCTCAGTGCTATTTATAATCTTTTAGGCTTACTGGTATATTTGATTCATATTAACTGTAAAATGACATTTTCTAGGTTTCACAAATATTGGGGATAGTCAAAGGGACTTTGTTCAGGTGATTAAAGGGTGGGGCTTGCATTACTCCTCTTCTAAGCAATCATTCCAAAATGACTGGCAGTAATAAAGAATCATGGTTTAAAAAAAACAAAACAAAACAAAACAACAAAGATTGGATTATGCATAAAAGCTATGCGCCTATTAGAGCTCACTGATCACACCTTAAGCTGTCTATGTATAAGAGATGAGGCTATAACTAGCTAAAGCTCTAATTGGCTAAGACACCAAAGCCAGAAAGTATTCTATAACATGCAAATATGCAGATATAAAATCAACTGTAAGTGCTGGGCACAGCTGCTCATGGCTGTAATCCCAGCTACTTGGGAGGCACAGACAAGATCACGTTAGCCCAGGAGTTCAGAGCTGTGGTGAGCTATGATCATGTCACTGCACTCCAGCCTAGGGGAAAAAGTGAGAACTTGTCTCAAAAAAAAAATCTGTAGAAGAAAAAATAATGTCTGGGTCACTAGGAGTAGTCCCACTGTCATGCCCAGACAGAGATGCAAACCTTGAGAGGCTTCTATTCTAGGTGGGCCGTTTCAGTCCAAGTCAGCCGGGCTCTGGAGCAATAAACACAGACACCTGAGTTTAACATCAAGTTTTTTAGAACCTTCAACTGAAAACCCGACAGCTGTTTCTAAGTCTTAGACCATTTAAATCAGAATCTAGGTAGCACGTGGGCACCTGAGTAGTTTAAAAAGCTTTCCAGGTGATTTAAAAAGTTTTCCAGTAGTTCCCCACCGCCCCCCCACCCACAGTGGTTTTAAAAGCTTTCCAGGTGATTCAACTCCAAGTGAATCACTTAGCATTGAGTATCATTGCCCTAGTCATGGCATCTTTCAAATTCGTTAGTGCATGTTTGCATAAAATTACACATCAAACGAAGAGCAACTTTTTTATGAAGGTGTCTATTTCTTCCTTTAGTGTCCTCAGATCTTCTGCTGTTTTCTGGTCTACTTTTGTTTCTGAACACGCCCTTATTTTTGTCTTTGGAGAGAGCCTGGCACGGTATTTCAGACAGTTAAAATACTATATCAACAAAGGACCCATAAATACTGTATTAATGTTAAAAGATGTATAGTGGATATATGATTGAATGAGTAAAATACTCCAGCTGGGGCGTGGGAGGAATGGATAATAAATAAGAGAACGGAAAAACAAAATTAGGAATTGTTTTTGGTAGCCAGCATCTGTGGGCTTGGAGATCTAAATATGATACCAAACTGGGCGGAGGAGGAAGGAGTGAGGGAAGCATGGGCAGAGCAGCGGAATGGCCAGGCAAGGGCGATTTCCCTGAAACCTGAAGGCTTTCAGGTTACAACTAACGGATACCGGGAAAAGAACACGGAGCCGCCGTCCCTTATCTATCTAAACTAGCTGTGTAACTTTAAGTCAATCTCCTCTCTGAACCAGATATTTCTCCTACCTAAAGAAAGGAGGCTGACCTAGGAACCATTAAAATCTCTTTCCAAGTCCAGCTCTAATTCTGCAAACAGGGGATCAAACAGAACTTCTTTCTTCAGAAAAGGCCCCAGACGAAACAGAAGCAGGTCCTCGAGCCGCAAGCCACCCTCCTCTTGCCACCCAACGTAGTCAGCCCGAGGGACGGATCTGGCACAAAGCACTACCTTCTTTGTAAACGCCTTATCACCCCAGCCAGCACCCCGACCCGAGCAGTTCTGAGTTTCCCATCCCTCCCATAAACGCCCTCCACGCACGCCGGATCCCGACCGGAACCTGGAGAACCAGTGGTCACTCATCCCCTAAAGCACAGGGAGGAGCTGCATCTAAAATCCTTGAGGGTCAGGGCTCTTCCAGGTGAAGAGCGCCCGGCGGAATCGACTTCCTCGACTATCTCCGCGCCCTGGACCCGCCCCCTCCGCCTGGCGCCAGGCCGCCGAGCGCCGATCGGCTCGGTGAGCGGAGGCGCTGCTGCGGAGCTGCGGCCGACGCCGGATCCGCACCCACCGTCCCCCCACTCCCAGCTTTTTACCTCAGCTTCCCACTCCTTCCCCCGCCCGTCCAGCACCGCCCGCCCGGGAGAGCTGCCGGGAGTTCCCCGGGAGCCTCAGGTACTGGCGCTGGCCTGTTCCCAGCCGGAGGGGCTGCTGTGAGGAGGGAGGAAATGAAGATGACGCCCCTGCCTCGCCGCCCCTCGACGTCCGAGTTGGGCTGGTTAGCCGGCCTCGGGGATCTAGGAAGGGACCCCAGAGTGGGAAAAAGCTGGGGCCGGGGGTACCGTGAGGAAGGAAGACGAGGACAGGGGTGTGCGGACGGGGAGTAGTTGAGGGGAGAAGAATTGGAATTGAGGGGTACTCTGGGGCGATGGGGAGAGAACAGTGCCATGGATGGGGAAGGTTTGTTAAGAGTGGGAGGCAGTCAGGAATGCCAGGGAGTACCATGGGGCAGGAAGGGCCAACGTTAGGAGCAGATACTTCGAGGGACGTGGCCTGGTGCGACAGATTGGGTGTTGGGGGGTGAGCAGAGCTGCTTCGAATTGTGTATTTAAAGGGCTCGGGAGAAAGAGCGCCAACCCTGCTGTGTTTGTAATGACCAGAAGGTGGGGGTGAATCGTTACACTTGACAGGTTTTGCTAATAACATCTTTGGTCTGTGTCCATCCAAGTTACTTTATTTCTATGAAACTGCATCGAGCAAGACGCTGATGACAGACAAGGAAGAGGAGTTAAAAAGGGAATGGAGGCTGGGAAAAGGAGAGCCTCTGCCCAGATTCAAAGCTATTGACTAAATAACGTACTGCTTACAAAAATTCATACATAAACGTTTAAGTATATGCTGATGCATAAGAAGCATACGGTGATGTGACTGTGTAAGTGAATTGTATAGTGGTGGTCTGTCCTCAATGTGGAAGTACATGATGGCTCTCTTATTTACATGTATTCCTAGTCACCAACACCTGAATTCACGTATGTTTTTTGTAGGGGAAATCTTAAGCAGACTCTATCCTAGTCTCCTTTCTGAGCATTATTTACTTCTACTAGTTGTTGGATACCCGTATCATCAGATACTAATAAATAATCAGTAGTTGCAAATAACATCAGATTTCATCAAGGTAGCTAATTAATCTGTCTACTGCTTTGCGGATGGGTTTTCTATCTGTTGGACATGGTTTCTTGGGATTGAGAGACCTGAATATGAGGTTTGCCCATCCTTAAGATTGTAGTTTTACTATATGTCTCATAAACGCATTATGTAAGTCTGCCTGTTGTTTGCTTTGGGGTGTTGAGGCAGCCTCTATGCATGGGGTTAAAATCTAAATACAGATATAGTTAAAAGCACAAGTTCTTCAGTAATTTGCTTTGTCATCTGTTTTTTCCATGCATTCTGTTACATTTCTGCATAAATGAATTATTCTGAAATCAAAGTGTGAGGAATAAAAGGGCCAGATGTATGTGACAAATACTGTGGAACCAAGAACTCAAGAGCTGTTAGGCAGCAAGAGTTTGTTTTTTGTTACAAGTGAATAATTTCTGATTTGGAAGCATTTCTTATCAAAGAAGAGTGTTTGTGTCCATTTGTTTTGACAAGTAGCTAACTTAAAATATTACTTTTATTTGGTTTAGGAAACCAGACTTTGGGGTTATTCTTTCTGATGTCTAATTTTACGTAATTTAAAGGTCTAAATGCTGCTTCTTGTGGGCAAGGAAACAGGACTATTGGGTTGTTACCGGAAAATGAGTCTCTCTAGAACAGAATTCTGTAAACCTGATGGGCAACTAATTGAACAAATAATTAAAACTGATAATGGATTGCCATTGATTGATTTAGGCCTGTATCTCTGCCGTTTCAATGAGTGTAGTGACTAACATTATCGTTACTAAACTTTAGTTTTCTACTAGTTTCTTAGTGCCTACTTCAAAGAAGCATCATAAAGACTAAAAGAAAATGCATGTGTATCACTGAGCACAGTGCCTAGCATATAGTAAAACATTCAGTATTTCTGAGCTATCCTTAATTGCTGGGTATTCATCTACCATCTAGTCCAAAATACTGAAAATTCATTATTTGCATAGAACAACTTTTTCTTAAAAAAAATTTTAATATGTTGCATATGCAAGCATTTTCCTAGAAAGTCACAATGCATTTAGCATGTAAGAGGATTTGAGTCATTCTGTAGTAAAGAAAACTAGCTTTGTTTAATCCAGTTGTTTTGATGAAAGAAAAACTGAATTTCTCCTAGTCTCTCTCAACAGAGAATACTCCTCTGACCCCAAAAAGATTTCTCCTCATGAGCAAGTAGGCAATTCTGCATCAGGTTCTCCAGCTGGGTGTCCTCTAATTCAATTGGTACTTTATACCTAGAGATAGCATCAGATTCTGCAGGTTGAGGGCTTAATCTTGCAACATTCCTCTGCACCTCGAGTGCCCATCACAAGTTCCAGGTGTTTTTACCTGTGCTTCCAGTAACTGGCTATAAATCAGAGTTCCCCAAATTCCTTGTCTTCAATTTATTTGCTAGAGTGGCTCACAGAATTCAGAGAAACACTTTATTTACTGGTTTATTATAAAGGATATTACAAAAAAATAGAGATCAACAGCCAGATTGAAGAGGTGCATAGGGCAGGGGGTACAGAGCTTCCATGCCCTCTCCAGGTGTGCCACCATCCAGGAACCCTCTACTTGTTCAGTTATCAGGAAGCCCTCTGAACCCTGTCCTTTTTGGGTTTTATGGAGTCTTCATTAGTAGACATGATCGATTACATCATTGGCCATTGGAAATCAGTTCAACCTTGAGGCTGCCTCCCTTCCCAGGAGGCTAGCAGGTGGGACTGAAAAGTCCCAGTCTTCTAATCATGCCTAGGTTTTTCTGTGACCAGCCTCCCATCTTGAATATATCTAGGGGCTAAGCTACCAGTCGTCTTATTAGCATACACAGGACACATCACTGCAGGGATTCCGAGGATATGTCAGGAAATGGGGATTAAGACCAAATAAATACATTTTATAAATCACAATATTACCGAACTTACCCCTTTTAATGGAGCATCAATGGGACATTATAGTTTGCAGAATATTTTTGCATGTATTATCTGATTTGACCATCCCAACTCTGTGCAGAAGCCTGAAAATCACTATTTTACACATGAGGAAACCAAATCATTGCTTAAGCAACCAACTAAAAGTGAGAAAAATAGACATGTTCTCTTGTCTTCTGATTCCAACTTTAAATTGCTCACGGAGACATCTTCCTTCTATTCTCTGCTCTTTCATTTTATAAAAATCATAAGTCTCATATCTTATACATGTTCTCTTAGGGCAGTTACATCCATTTTCTCATAGTTTTAACTATTTCTTACGTATTGAGGTCTAGCATGGAGCCTCCAGTCACTGTAGTGGAACAAGTGAGAGGGGAGGAATTAAAGTCAGAAAAATGAGGGAGTCCCCATCGTACAGGGTCTTTTATCCTGTTTTAAGTACCTTATACCCCAAAGTCTCAAATCTGATGAAATTTATTTTCCCTTTAAGGCGGTGACTATTCTGCTGAGAAGTGAAAAGTATTTCACAAGGAAAAAATATGCCTCCCAAGTTTAAGCGCCACCTCAATGATGATGATGTCACAGGTTCTGTGAAAAGTGAAAGGGTAAGTTCAGAATCTTAAGCTTTAAAAGATTCAAAATATGTTTTCATTCACTTTGTAAATAATAGAAAAAAAGCAGCTGGATGTGGTTGTTCTTGCTTACAATCACAGCACTTGGGATGCTGAGGCAGTATAGCTTGAGTTCAGAAGTTTGAGACCATCTTGGACAACATGGGGAAACCCCATCTCTGCAAAAATTTTTTGGAAATTAGTGGGGCATGGTAGTACGTGCCTGTGGTTCCAGCTGTTCGAGAGGCTAAGGCAGGAGGATCACCTGAGCCTGGGAGGTAAAGGCTGTGGTGGATTGTGATTCAACCTGGGCAACAAAATAAGACCCTGTCTCAAAAATTAATAATAACAAAAATCTAAAGCTTATGACTGTATTCTAATCATATTTGTTTTCTTCATAGTAAATGTATTAAAAAACATGTTACTTAGATTGGTGACACAACTGAATTCAGAATTCTACTTTCATTATTGATCAAATCATTCTCATAGCTTTTTTCTAGTTTTTGAAAGGGAGTTTTATACGAACACACAATATCTTACTAAGAACTTTGAAGCTGAATATATTTGGAATTTTTCAGATTTTAGAAAGTTAAGAACATATTATGTAACAGCATTTTTGGGGCCTGGACTAGTGCCTCTGAAAATATTAATATTTCTCCTTGAAGACTATATTTAGTTATAACTAACTATGCAAATAAAGTGTATAAAAAACTAACATCAATTCAGGTCAGATTTTCCACCAAAACCTTTGGATTTTCAGAAGCTTGTAGATTTTGGAATTACAAATAAAGGTCTCAAGACCTATAATTATCTTAGGTTCCAGAGTATCTTTCATATAATGCTTCAGTTTCTAGTTTATTCCAGAACATTCTGTGCAAATATAAATCTAGAAATTATGCAGCATTCTGAAAGACATTTTATATGAATGTTGTAGGCAATTACTTTTAAAATGAGTACTCAATACATACTTATTGGGGGGAAGAATTTGCATTCTTACCTTTTTTAATTCACCATTCTGAAGCCCTCCTTCCTTCCCTTCTTGTCTTGATTCATTCAGCAAATATTTTTTGGCCACCTACTATGTGCTAGGCACTGGACTAAAAATTGGAAGACACAGTCTGTGCCCTTGCAAAGCTTTTAGTCTACTTCATTTTACATGCTCTTTTTGGACAACCTCAGAACTTCATATTATCCACGCTATCCACCATCTTATGACTTAGAAATTTTCTTTAGTACAATGCAGAAAACATTTTTCTTCCCCATATTCTAACCCTTTGTACAGCTTTTTGGATTTTGCGTGGTTTTGATGGTTTGTTTTTATTTTTTGAGACCAAGATCTTGCTCTGTCATTGAGGCTGGAGTGCAGTGGTGCAATCATGGTTCACTGTAGCCTCCACCTTTTGGGCTCAAGTTGTCCTCTCACCCCAGCCTCCCTAGTAGCAAAGACTATAGGTACACGATACCACACCTGGCTAGTTTTTGTTTTTCTTATAGAGATGGGGTTTTGCTGGTCTCAAATTCCTGAGCTCAAGTGATCTACCTGCCTTGGCCTCCCAAAGTGCTGGGATTACAGACATTTGACACTGGGCTCAGCCTGTTTGTTTGTTTGTTTTTTAAATGGGGAATAAAATGCACCAATAGACTAATTGCTAGCAAGCTTTTAAAAATAAACTTTAAGGAGTCACCAGTGATTTCATGTTGCCAAATCCAATTATTCCTTCTTTGCCATAATTTCAACTGCTTACCAGCATCTGGTGCAGTTTCAACAATTTTGGTTACCTATCTTTGCCTCCACACCATGGTGAACTCTTAGTGTCTGCTGGAGCTATTTCTCCATGTAAGGAATTGAGAAATGCCTTGAGGAAATAAACCAAGTCTGTTTGAACTGGGAAGGCTCTGGTAGAGAGAAGACAGAGGATGATCAGGGATTGAGAAATCACTCACAGGGATAATCCAGGGTCTCTTTATTTATTTTTGGCGGGGGGGGGCTCTTTCAAGATAAACCTCCAAGCAAAAGTGATTCAGAAAATTTGACATATCTGTGCTGGAATTCCATACACTCAAGATTTACTATCAAAAGCATGTCTTGGCCAGGGATGGTAGCTAATGCCTGTAGCACTTTGGGCGGAAGTGGGCAGATCACTTGAGGTCAGGAGATTGAGACCATCCTGGCCAACATGGTGAAACCCTGTCTCTACCCAAAATACAAAAATTAGCCGGGTGTGGTGGCACACGCCTGTAATCCCAGCTACTTGGGAGGCTGAGGCAGGAGAATCACTTGAACTCAGGAGGCAGAGGTTGCGGTGAGCTGAGATTGCGCCATTGCACTCCGGCCTGGGTGACGGAGTGAGACTACTTCTCAAAAAAAAAGCATGTCTTTACAAAGCAGAAGATTTGGAGAAATACTAAACCTGTTCAGAGAATAAATGTCAATTTGTTAAAGTAAATGATAGCAATTGTGAACCTATATAAGAACTCAGTGTAAAACAACACAGAATCAATGTGCATCCAGTACAAGCTAACTAAAGACTCCTGATGAATATTCAGTGATCAGCGTACACAAAGCATGTTCAAATATTTTTTAAATCATCAGTTAGAATAATCTGAGCCTCTTTCGCATTGCCCCAAGGAAATGTTTAGTCACTTATCCAGAGATGCTTGCAAAGCATTAATATCCTGGAAGATGATCAATAAATGCTCACAGTTCATTGACTGACATCTGAGATGTGTGAGGTAAATACCTCAGTCCTGGACAGAGAGCCTCTAAGTCACACCTGCCTTTTTGTAAGATGAGGATTCAAGTATGGAAATGTATGTAGTAAAATTACCTCTCTGAACTTGTGTGTAATTCATAGAATCTATGTTAACTTTGAAAAATGTATGTAAAGCAGAGAAGGTTGTGGCCAAATTCAGTGTATAGTATACCAGAGAATATTAGTTAATAATTTTTAATCGATACAAATCTCATTAATTTTAAAGTTTTATTTTTGCATGATTTTGAACTTAAATGATTCATATTTCATAAGTTCTCCTGTATTTCTTTCTCATAGTCACTGCTAAACATAAATTTGTTGTTCACTTAGTGGAATCACTGCTAAGGACATAGTCGCTTGAATACTATTGCTTTTTAAAAATCAAGTCCGGGCATGATATACCAGTATCACAGTCTCATGGCACATTGGTCATAATCCTGAGAAAATATTGACACAATGATTATTTTTAGATATTAAGTACCAGTTTAATACATGTGGAAATCAGGTTAAATAGTACATAAAGCCTACCCTGTTAACAAGGTCACGAACAATTACTTCAAGAAAAACAATAATAAACCTTAAATTAAAAAGTAATGCAAATAAATAAGCTTTATGAATATATTGTTAAATTTAAAATGTACTCTCAGTAAGTTCCACTGCTGAGACTGTAATTTTATCACTTTTTCCTTATATTCTTCATTGATTATTACTGTAATTTATTTTTTAAAAAAGTTTACCGGATACCAGAACTGAACAAAATTGACTGTTTAAATAGAGATCCACTTTTCAATGTTTATTACATTATGACGTTTGATAACTGATTGGTTCAAATAATATATATTACTTTTAAAACCTTTTAAAAGTTTTGATCTGCTTTCCTATTATACATTTTGGTAATAGCTTTATTGAGATATGTCACATACCATACAATTCACCCATTTAAAGTGTACAATTCAGAGAGTTTTATTATATTCACAGAGTTGTGCAACAATCAGTACAATCAATTTTAGGACATTTTCATCAGCCCAAAAAGAAATGCTGTACCCTTTTGCAGTCATCCCCCATTTGCCTTTATCCCCTCAGCCTCTAAGCAACTGCAGACCTACTATAGATTTGTCTATTCTGGACATTTTATATAAACGGAATCATATGACATATAGCCTTTTATCAGTGCTTCATTCCTTTTTTTTTTTTTTTTTTTTTTTTTTTTTTGTCCAAAGGGGACAAAGTCTCACTCTGTCACCCAGCCTGGAGTGCAGTGGCGCACTCTCGGCTCACTGCAATCTCCTTCTCCCAGGTTCAAGCGATTCTCCTGCCTTAGCCTGCCAAGTAGCTGGGATTACAGGCATCTGTCACCACACCCAGCTAATTTTTGTATTTTTAGTAGAGACAAGGTTTCACCATGTTGGCCAGGCTAGTCTCGAACTCCTGACATCAGGTGATTTGCCCACCACAGCCTCCCAAAGTGCTGGGATTACAGGCATGAGCCACCGCACCCAGCCTTTATCTTTTTTGTTGCTAGATAACATTCCCTTATATTGATATAACACATTTGGTTTATTAATTTATCAGTTCATAGATATTTGGATTTTTTTCTACTTTTGGCTATTTTGAATACTGCTGCTATGAATATTAGCATACAAGTTTTTGTTTGAACATGCTTTTATTTCTCTTGGGTATAATCTAAAGGTAGAATTGCTGAGTATTGTAGTAACTCTGTGTTCAGCCTTTTGAAGAACTGCCCAGCTGTTTTCCAAAGTGGTTGTACAATTTTTACATTCTCACCAGCAATGTATGAGGGCTCTAGTTTCTCCACATCCTCACGAACACTTACCTGCCTAGTGGGTATGAAATTATTATATCATTGTGTCCTATTATTCTTTGACACTGCATCCCTATTATTCAGTGAATGTATGAAAAGGCATTGGTTTTCATGTGTGTTTCTCAGTGTGCAATTATAGTAAACATACCTTATTTTTAGTATCATTATCCTCTAAACCAAATAAATTATTACTATTATCATCATTTTGAGACAGGATCTGGCTCTGTTACCCAGGCTGGAATGCAGTGGCATGATCATGACTCACTGCAGCCTCCTCCTGGGCTCAAGCAATCCCCACATCTCAGCCTCCCAAATAGCCTGTGTACTACAGGCATATACCACCATGCCTAATTATTATTATTATTATTTTTTTTTTTTTTTTTGGGTAGAAACGGGGTTTTGTCATGTTGCCTAGGCTGGTGTTGAACTCTGGGACTCAAGTGATCCTCCCTCCTCATCTTCCCAAAGTGCTGGGATTACAAGCATGAGCCACCATGCCCAGCTGTAAACTAAATAAACTATAAATGTAATGCTTGTCTGTTACTTGCTAGCTAAAAACTTGAATTGGGTTGAATTACTGTATCTTTTATGTTTTTTTAAAGATAAACTTGTAAATAGTGTGATTTGAAATACTAAAAAAGAAAAAATCACTCAATATTTATCACTCAATATTAAAATATCACTCTATTTATTTTAAAATATCACTCAGTATTTATTTTAAAAATGACCTAATGCATTTTCTTGAATATTACTGGTTTTTAACATTTCATGTGGTTATTGACCATGTCTTCTCTTGGGAATTATGTATTCCTGTTCTTTGTGTTTCTATAAAGTCTTTTTTTCTTACTAGTTTGTCAAAGCTTTTGATATAATACAGACATCAGGTCTTTTGTCTTAAAGTGTATTGCAGATGTTTTTTCCCTAGTCTCTTGCTTGTTTGTTCACCTTGTTTTTGATGTCTTATGTTGAAGTTTTAAATTTTTATATAATCAAATATGCTAATCTTTTTCGTTCAGATTTCTAGAGTTGTGTGTTGCTTAGGAATAACTTACCCCTTAAGAGTTAACTATTAAGAGTTAAATATTTATTTTATATATTTTCAGTCTTTGTGATCATAACAAAATATATCTAAGGTTCCATTTTCCTTTAAGTACTGCTGTGGCCATACTCTGCAGATTTTGACCTGTGATCTTCTCAGTGTCTCTCGTTTCAAAATAGTCTAATCACCTTTATTTACATTTACATAAGAGTTCATAAGAAGAGTGTTCTTGTTTTTTGTGAGGTTTTTCTTTGCGACAGGGTCTCCTTCTGTCACCCAGGTTGAAGTAAAGTGGCATGATCATAGCTCACTGTAACCTCAAATTCCTGGGTTCAAAAGATCCTCCCATCTCAGCTTCCTGAACAGCTAGGACTATAGGCATGAGACACCATGCCTGGATAATTTTTTTTTTTTTTTTGTAGAGACAGGATCTTTCTATGTTGCCCAAGCTGAAATTGAACTCCTGGGCTCAAGCCATCCACCAACCTTGGCTTCCAAAGCACTGAGATTACAGGTGTGAGCCATTGCACCCAGCTGAGAAGAGTATTTTAAAACTTGCTTTTGTTATTTGTTTTAATTTCCATTACATTATGGTCAGAGAACATGATGTGTAATTTCTATTTTTTGGTTTATTAAATTTCCTTTATGGCTTACCCATAAAGGAAAATAAAATAAAATTTGTTGTTTAGTTTCAGAGTTCTAGATACTTTTTGTATTTGGTGTCTCCATCTCTGAAGGGTATATTAAATCTTCCCTATGATTTTGATATACCTGTTTCTTACAGTTTGAGCAGCTTTTGTTTTGGATATTTTAATCTGTATTGTTAGGTATATAAATATTCATTGCTATTAAATCTTCTTGATGGATTATACATTTATTTTATCATTGGAAAATCAACTTACTTGATTTTTATAATGCTTTGTCTTAAAATTCCTCTTTATATTGCTAACTGTAACATTCTTTTTGTTAGAATTTGCTGAGATACCTTTTCTACCCCGTTTTCTTTATCCTTTATTTGATACTTGTTTTAGTTGAATTTCTTGTAAACAGATATTGGCTAGAATGTTTTTGAACCCTAAGCACATATGGTTTTTGTTATTAAATAGGGACATTCCAACCAGTCTCATTTATTGTGAGTAACTAATACACTTGGACTTTGTCTGTGCTAGCCAGTTAGTCCTGCCAGCAGTGAATGCTCTTCACCCTGATCTTTGGCTGGCTCTTTGTTACTTGGATCTCAGCTTAAATTTCACCTCTTCAGAGTGATTTTTTATGACAGTCTAATCTCAGGTAGTCATCTCATTGCTTTCTGTCCCATTACTGTTTTAATTCTCTGCATAGCATTCGTCATAATCCTGTTTTTCTAAGAGCTCAGACTTTGCCTGTTTTGTTCAAAACTGGTGCTTAGTACTTAGTGCACATAGAAGCACATAAAAGATGTTCAAAAATACTTGTTAAATGAATATTGAATACATCCTTCTTTCATTTTTTTACTCTTTAGTATATGTCATATGTTATACATTGATTAGATATAGTTATATTCATTATATTTCCTGTATTTTCCTTCCTTTCCCTTATGCCTTCTCTTATGCTAGATTGATTATTTTTACTCATCTCCCTCCTTGATATTTAGATATTTTGCTCCCTTCCTCCCTCCTTCCTTCCATCCCTCTTTTGTTATTAACTTTATATTTTAATGATAATGTAAATCTGTGTTCTCTGTCAACATACCAAAAACTAAGCCATTTCCATTGTTTTACTTTTTAATTCTAGTCCTGTTTCCCCTTCCTCCATTCCACTCCTCATCAAGATGAGTATGTTGGCAATGCTTTCACTTCCTCACTTCACTTTCCCACTCCCAGCTTCTGGGCTTTGTTGGATAAATTTAGATTCTTTTTAAGTTTTTCTTTATAATATTATAGTATTATAATATTCTTTATAATATTATAGTATTTTTTTTCAAAAGCTTTAACTTATCATTTATAGTCACATTATTGTCAATGATTTAGATTTGACCACACATTGTGTTAGATTTATTGATTGTATCCACCTCAGTCTTAAGATCTTTGTTTTGAGTTTCTTTTTGGCTAGTGTAATTCCTTGAGGAATTTCCTCAGAAAAGGTACATGAGTAGTGTATTAATTTCTCATTGCTGCTGTTACAAACTACCACAAACTTAAAACAACAGAAATTTATTGTCTTATAGTTCTGGAGACCAGAAGGCTAAAATGAGCTTATGGGCTCAAATCAAGGTGCCAGTAGGGCTGTGTTCCTTCTGGAGGCCTTGGGGAAGAAACTGTTTTCTTGCTTTTCCTAGCTCCTAGAGGCTTCCTGTGTCTTCAAAACCATCAATGTAATATCCCTCTCCCTCTCCCCCTCCCTTTTCCCTCTCCCCCTCCCTTTTCCCTCTCCCCCTCCCTTTTCCCTCTCCCCCTCCCTTTTCCCTCTCACCCTCCCTTTTCCCTCTTCCTCTCCCCCTCCCTTTTTCCTCTCCCCCTCCCTTTTCCCTCTTCCTCTCCCCCTCCCTTTTCCCTCTCCCCCTCCCTTTTCCCTCTCCCCCTCCCCTTTCCCTCTCCCCCTCCCTCTTCCTTCCCTTCCCCCCACCTCTGCATTGGGCTCCTTTGAATAATTTACAATGATCTTTCCCTCTCAAGATCTATAATCCCATATGCAAAGTCCCTTTTACCGTGCAAGGTAACACAGTCACAGGTTTTGGTGATTATATTAGCCAGGCATGGTGGCAGGCCTTGTACACCCAGCCACTTGGGAGGCTAAGGTAGGAGAAGCTCTTGAACCCAGGAGGCAGAGTTGCAGTGAGCCGAGATCATGCCACTGCACTCCAGCCTAGGTGACAGAGACTCTGACTCAAACAAAACAAAAAATCAGATTTTGATGATTAGAACATGGACATCTTTGGGGAGCCATTATTCTGCTTATAACCAGTGGTACCATTTGAGCATCCCTAATCTGAAACTTTTTAAGTACCAATATGATGCCACAATGGAAAATTCCACGCCTGACCTCATGCGATGGGTGGTAGTCAAAACATAGTCAAAACTTTGTTTCATGCACAAAGGTATTTAAAAATATTGTGCAAAATTACCCTCAGGCTATGTATGTAAGGTATATTTGAAATTCAAGGTCTTCATGAAGCATAATGAATTTTGTGTTGAGACTTTGGTCCCATACCTAAGATGTTTCCTAATATATATGCAAATATTCTAAAATCCAAAATTTCAAATACTTCCAGTCTCAAGCATTTGGGATAAGGGATTCTCAACTTGTATAGTGTTTGAGTTCTTGTGTGTCTGAAAAGGTCTGGGTGTTGCTCTTCTTTAGCCTCCTTTTGGGCTTTATATCTTCCCCTTTGGGGGAGAAGGTGAGACTGTCCTCATTTTAAGGAAAATTGTATGTTGTAAAAGTCTACAGTTGGTTTTGTTTGGAAGTTCAAATTTGTGTAGGGGGCTGTTTGTGAATAAAGTAGCTAGAAAGTAGAACATGCCAGTTTTTAAGCCCGTCTCTTCAGCTCCAAACTATCCCTCTATACTCTTCTCTGATCCTGCAATTGGAATCCACAAACTACATTTCTTCTTTCCACCTGGCTCCCTGTTAAGTTCTGCCAATAGACAGACACTGAAGTCAGAAGGAAGGAGAGGGGACTTGCTCCCTCCTGATTATCCGCAGTTCCTCACTCCCATACCAGATTCAGCGACCTTTCTGCCTTTTTTAGTCAGTTATAGGATTCTAGAATTATGAGCATTTTCTTTGCAAAGTTTGTAAATGCCTCACATCTTTTAGCTTCCCAAAACAAAGTTTTGACTGTGTTTTGACTACAACCCATCACATGAGGTCAGGTGAAGGATATGTAATTACTTTCCCTTCTTTATGGACACTTGGTATTAAGAAATTTCACTAGTATAGAACTTACTTCATTACTTCTCTGTGACATTTTATAAGCCCTCTGAATCTGAAAACTCAAGTCTTGTTCTTTTTTTGACAGAGAAATCTTTTGGAAGATGATTCAGATGAAGAAGAGGACTTTTTTCTGTAAGTTTTTTTTTTTTTACATCTTTATTAGGGTGTAATTGACAATAAATGCATATATCTAAAGTATACAGTATGCATTTTGGCAGACATACAGTAGTCTCCCTTTAATTCTCCCTTATACATGCGAGATGCATTCCAAGATACCCCTGTGGATGTGTGAAACCGCAGAGAGTAGCAAACCTTATATATTTATGTGCTTTTTTCTATACATACAAACCTGTCATAAAGTTTGATTTATAAGTTAGGCACAGTAAGAGATTAACAGCAATAGCTAATAATAAAAAATAGAGCACATTTTAAAATATACTATAATAAAACTTTCGTGAATATGGTCTCTCTCGCTGTCTCTTAAAATATCATACTATGTTCACCCTTCTTGTGATGATGTGAAATAATAAAATGCTTGCATGATGAGACAAAGTGAGGTGAAGGATGTAGACACTGCAACGTAACGTTAGGTACTATTGACCTCTGATGATATGTCAGAAGGAGAATCATCTATTTTAGGTGGTCTTGGATCATGAAGCCAAGAAGATGTTGATAACTACATCTTCTTGGGGTGGGTAGCATATACAATGTGGATACGCAGGACAAAGGGATGATTCACATTTCAAGTGGGACAAGGGGCAACGTGAGGTTTCATCATGCTACTCAGAATGGTGCACAATTTAAAACTTGTTTTAAATTGAATTGTTTATTGAATTTTTTATTTCTGGAATTTTCCATTTAATATTTTCAGACCACAGTTGACCATGGGTAACTGAACTATGGAAAGCAAAACTGTGGGTGAGGGGGAGCTTACTGTACTGTATACCTGTGACATCATCAGCAGAATCAACTAATGAACCACCTATGGCCCTGAAAGTTTCCTCATAACCCTTGGTAATCTGCTTTCCCAGTCCTTAGGCCACCAGTGGTGATCTGCTTTCTGTCACTGTACTTTGTATTTTTTTAAATTTTGTTTTTAATGAAAACATGCAGTATGCCCCATTTTTAAAACCTGGCTTTAGTCAGTGTGGTGTTTGAGATTCATCTATGTGTTAATAGTTGGGTTTTAAAATGTTCTGGGTAGTATTCCATTGTATGAATGCTGCAGTTCGTTTATGCATTCACTTGTGTGTGGATTTTTGGGTCGTTTCTACTTTTTGGCTCTTACCTATAAACCTGTGTGCAGGTTTTTGTGTGGATATATGATTTATTTCTCTTGGAAAGTCAGGAGGGACAACATTGTTGTGGGAGTTTTCTCTGGGGATTGACGTAGAGGGATATATGCCTGAGAGGAAACATTTACCTCTTACTTTGTTAAAATATTGTGGCTTTTCTTGTAGAGGCTGGGATTTTTTTTTTTCCATATGAAAACATTTTATAAAAGTTAATGGAAACCTGGCCAGGCACAGTGGCTCATGACTATAATCCCAGCACTTTGGGAGGCTGAGGCAGGTGGATCACCTGAGGTCAGGAGTTTGAGGCCAGCCTGGCCAACACAGTGAACCATCTCAACTGAAAATGCAAAAATTCCCCAGGCATGGTGGTGTGCACCTGTAATCCCAGCTACTTGGGAGGCTAAGGCAGGAGAATCACTTGAACCCAGGAGGCGGGGGTTGCAGTAAACTGAGATCGCGCCACTGCACTTTAGCCTGTGCAACAGAGCAAGACTCCATCTAAAATAATGAAAAAAAAATGCTTACAAGACAGATAGCAGCAAATCCAGTAACAGAAAATAGTATCATTTTTGGCAGAATGCCAGATAATGTGGGGAGATAATTTTCTGTGAGTGACAAGGTTTCCATAGAGTCACAAAACAAATTGCCTACAATGCTACTTGTAGTGAAAAGCTTTAGACTAGAGCAATAACTACCCCTCAGAAAGGAACTAAGGTATTTTTGTTTGTTTCTTTCTTTCTTTTTTTAATTGCATTTTAAGTTTTGGGGTACATGTGAAGAACATGCAAGATAGTTGCATAGTTACACACTTGGCAGTGTGATTTGCTGCCTTTCTCCTCTTCACCTATATCTGGCATTTCTGCCCATGCTATCTCTCCCCAACTCCCCACCCTGCTGTCTCTCCCCTAAAGCCCCAACCGACCCCTGTGTGTAGTACTCTCCTCCCTGTGTCCATGTGTTCTCATTGTTGAACACCCGCATATGAGTGAGAACATGCGGTATTTCATTTTCTGTTCTTGTGTCAGTTTGCTGAGAATGATGTTCTCCAGGTTCATCCATGTCCCCACAAAGGGCACAAACTCATCGTTTCTGATGGCTGCAAAATATTCCATGGTGTATATGTGCCACATTTTCCCTGTCCAGTCTATCACTGATGGGCATTTGGGTTGATTCCAGGTCTTTGTTATTGTAAGCAGTGCTGCAATGAACATACGTGTGCATGTGTCCTTTTTTTTTTTTTTTAATATATAAAAGATTATTTTATTTATTTATTTTTTATTTTTAAATTTTTTATTGGATTTTAGGTTTTGGGGTACATGAGCAGAGCATGCAAGACAGTTGCATAGGAACACACATGGCAGTGTGCTTTTCTTTCCTTCTCCCCTTCACCCATATTTGGCATTTCTCCCCAAGCTATCCCTCCCCACCTCCGCCTCCCACTGGCCCTCCCCTTTTCCCCCCAATAGACCCCAGTGTTTAGTACTCCCCTTTCTGTGTCCATGTGTTCTCATTTTTCATCACCCGCCTATGAGTGAGAATATGCGGTGTTTCATTTTCTGTTCTTGTGTCAGTTTGCTGAGGATGACGTTCTCCAGATTCATCCATGTCCCTACAAACGACACAAACTCATCATTTCTGATTGCTGCATAATATTCCATGGTGTATATGTGCCACATTTTTCCAATCCAGTCTATTATCAATGGGCATTTGGGTTGATTCCAGGTCTTTGCTATTGTAAGCAGTGCTGCAATGAACATTCGTGTGCATGTGTCCTTATAGTAGAACAATTTATAGTCCTTTGGATGTATACCCAGTAATGGGATTGCTGGGTCAAATGGAATTTCTATTTCTAGGTCCTTGAGGATTCGCCACACTGTCTTCCACAATGGTTGAACTAATTTACACTCCCACCAGCAGTGTAAAAGTGTTCCTGTTTCTCCACATCCTCTCCAACATCTGTTGTCTCCAGATTTTTTAATGATCGCCATTCTAACTGGCGTGAGATGGTATCTCAATGTAGTTTTGATTTGCATCTCTCTAATGACCAGTGAGGATGAGCATTTTTTCATGTTTGTTGGCCTCATGTATGTCTTCTTTTGTAAAGTGTCTGTTCATATCCTTTGCCCATTCTTGAATGGGCTTGTTTGTTTTTTTCTTGTAAATCTGTTTGAGTTCTTTGTAAATTCTGGATATCAGCCGTTTGTCAGATGGGTAAACTGCAAAAATGTTTTCCCATTCTGTTGGTTGCCAATTCACTCTAATGACTGTTTCTTTTGCCCTGCAGAAGCTGTGGAGTTTGATGAGGTCCCATTTGTCTATTTTGGCTTTTGTTGCCAATGCTTTTGGTGTTTTGGTCATGAAGTCCTTGACTACTATGTTCTGAATGGTTTTGCCTAGATTTTCTTCTAGGGTTTTTATGGTGTTAGGTCTTATGTTTAAGTCTTTAATCCATCTGGAGTTAATTTTAGTGGAAGGTGTCAGGAAGAGGTCCAGTTTCTGCTTTCTGCACATAGCCAGTTTTCCCAACACCATTTATTAAACAGGGAATCCTTTCCCCATTGCTTGTTTTTGTCAGGTTTATCAAAGATTGTATGGTTGTAGATATGTTGTGTTGCCTCTGATGCCTCTGTTCTGTTCCATTGGTCTATATCTCTGTTTTGGTACCAGTACCATGCTGTTTTGATTACTGTAGTATAGTTTGAAGTCTGGTAGTGTGATGCCTCCCTCTGTGTTCTTTTTGCTTAGAATTGACTTGGCTGTGCGGGCTCTCTTTTGGTTCCATATGAAGTTTAAGGTGTTTTTTTTCAGTTCTGTGAAGAAGGTCATTGGTAGCTTGATGGGGATAGCATTGAACTTGTAAATTACTTTGGGCAGTGTGGCCATTTTCACGATATTGATTCTTCCTAACCATGAATATGGAATGTTTCTCCGTCTGTTTGTGTCCTCTCTTATTTCGTTGAGCAGTGGTTTGTAGTTCTCCTTGAAGAGGTCCTTTACATTCCTTGTTAGTTGTATTCCTAGTTATTTTATTCTCTTTGTAGCAATTGTGAATGGCAGTTCGTTCTTGATTTGGCTCTCTTTAAGTCTGTTATTGGTGTATAGGAATGCTTGTGATTTTTGCCCATTGATTTTGTATCCTGAGACTTTGCTGAAGTTGCTTATCAGTTTCAGGAGATTTTGGGCTGAGACGATGGGGTCTTCTAGATATACTATCATGTCATCTGCAAATAGAGACAATTTGGCTTCCTCCTTTCCTATTTGAATACCCTTTATTTCTTTTTCTTGCCTGATTGTTCTGGCTAGAATTTCCAGTACTGTATTGAATAGGAGTGATGAGAGAGGGCATCCTTGTCTAGTGCCAGATTTCAAAGGGAATGCTTCCAGTTTTTGCCCATTCAGTATGATACTGGCTGTTGGTTTGTCGTAAATAGCTTTTATTATTTTGAGGTACGTTCAATCAGTACCCAGTTTATTGAGGGTTTTTAGCATAAAGAGCTGTTGAATTTTGTCAAAGGCCTTCTCTGCATCAATTGAGATAATCATGTGGTTTTTGTTTCTGGTTCTGTTGATGTGGTGAATTACGTTTATAGACTTGCATATGTTGAACCAGCCTTGCATCCCCGGGATGAATCCTACTCGATCATGGTGGATAAGCTTTTTGATGTACTGTTGCAATCGGCTTGCCAGTATTTTATTGAAGATTTTTGCGTCTATGTTCATCATGGATATTGGCCTGAAGTTTTCTTTTCTGGTTGAGTCTCTGCTGGGTTTTGGTATCAGGATGATGTTGGTCTCGTAAAATGATTTGGGAAGGATTCCCTCTTTTTGGATTATTTGGAATAGTTTCAGGAGGAATGGTAACAGTTCCTCTTTGTGTGTCTGGTAGAATTCAGCTGTGAACCCATCTGGACCTGGGCTTTTTTTGTGTGGTAGGCTCTTCACTGCTGCCTCAACTTCAGATCTTGTTACTGGTCTATTCATGGTTTCGACATCTTCCTGGTTTAGGCTTGGGAGGACGCAAGTGTCCAGGAATTTATCCATTTCTTCCAGGTTTACTAGTTTTTGTGCATACAGTTGTTTGTAATATTCTGATGATGGTTTGAATTTCTGTGGGATCTGTGGTGATTTCCCCTTTATCGTTTTTTATTGCATCTATTTGGTTATTCTCTCTTTTCCTTTTTATTAATGTGGCTAGTGGTCTATTTTGTTGATCTTTTTGAAAAACCAGCTCCTGGATTTATTGATTTTTTTGAAGGGTTTTTCGTGTCTCTATCTCCTTCAGTTCTGCTCTGATCTTAGTTATTTCTTGTCTTCTGCTAGGTTTTGAGTTTTTTTTATCTTGCTCCTCTAGCTCTTTCAATTTTGACGATAGGGTGTCAATTTTGGATCTCTCCACTCTTCTCACATGGGCACTTATTGCTATATATTTTCCTCTAGAGACTGCTTTAAATGTGTCCCAGAGATTCTGGTATGTTGTGTCTTGGTTCTCCTTGGTTTCGAAGAACGTCTTTATTTCTGCCTTCATTTCATTGTTTATCCAGTCAACATTCAAGAGCCAGTTGTTTAGTTTCCATGAAGCTGTGCGGTTCTGAGTTAGTTTCTGAATTCTGAGTTCTAAATTGATTGCACTGTGGTCTGAGAGACTGTTTGTTATGATTTCAGCTCTTTTGCATTTGCTGAGGAGTGATTTACTTCTAATTATGTGGTCAATTTTAGAGTAGGTATGATGTGATGCTGAGAAGAATGTATATTCTGTGCATTTGGGGTGGAGAGTTCTGTAAATGTCTATCAGGTTTGCTTGTTCCAGGTCTGAGTTTAAGTCCTGGATATCCTTGTTGATTTTCTGTCTGGTTGATCTGTCTAATATTGACAGTGGAGTTTTAAAGTCTCCCACTATTATTGTGTGGGTGTCTAAGTCCCTTTGTAAGTCATTAAGAACTTGCCTTATGTATCTGGGTGCTCCTGTATTGGGTCTGTATATATTTAGGATCGTTAGCTCTTCTTGTTGTATCGATCCTTTTACCATTATGTAATGTCCTTCTTTGTCTTTTTGATCTTTGTTGCTTTAAAGTCTATTTTATCAGAGACAAGAATTGCAACTCCTGCTTTTTTTTTTTTTTTTTTTGCTTTTTATTTGCTTGGTAAATCTTTCTCCATCCCTTTATTTTGAGCCTTTGTGTATCCTTGCATGTGAGATGGGTTTCCTGGATACAGCACACCGATGGGTTTTGGCTTTTTATCCAATTTGCCAGTCTGTGCCTTTTGATTGGTGCATTTATCCGATTTACATTTAGGGTTAATATTTTTATGTGTGAATTTGATACTGCCATTTGATGCTAGCTGGCTGTTTTGCCCTTGAGTTGATGCAGATTCTTCATTTTGTTGATGCTCTTTACCATTCTGTATGTTTTTGGAGTGGCTGGTACTGATTGTTCCTTTCTATGTGTAGTAACTTTTTCAGGAGCTCTTATAAAGCAGGCATGGTGGTGACAAAATCTCTGAGTAGTTGCTTGTTAGCAAAGGATTTTATTTTTCCTTCACTTACGAAGCTTAGTTTGGCTGGATATGAAGTTCTGGGTTGAAAGTTCTTTTCTTTAAGGATGTTGAATATTGGCCCCCACTCTCTTCTGGCTTGTAGGGTTTCTGCCGAGAGATCTGCTGTGAGTCTGATGGGCTTCCCTTTGTGGGTAACCCGACCTTTCTCTGTGGCTGCCCTTAACATTTTCTGTTTTATTTTAACCCTGGCGAATCTGACAATTATGTGCCTTGGGCTTGCTCTTGTTGAGCAACATCTTTGTGGTGTTCTCTGTATTTCCTGGACTTGAATATTGGCCTGCCTTGCTAGGTTGGGGAAGTTTTCCTGGATAATATCCTGAAGAGTATTTTCCAGCTTGGATTCATTCTCTTCATCACATTCAGGTACACCTATCAAAGGTAGATTATGTTTCTTCACATAGTTCCACATTTCTTGGAGACTCTGTTCATTCCTTTTTGTGCTTTTTTTCTCTAATCTTGCCTTCTCATTTTATTTCATTGAGTTGATCTTCAACCTCTGATATCCTTTCTTCTGCTTGGTCAATTCGGCTGTTGAAACTTGTGCATGCTTAGTGAAGTTCATGTGTTGTCTTTTTCAGCTGCATCAGTTCACTTATATTTCTCTCTAAGTTGTCCATTCTTGTTAACATTTTGTCAAGTCTTTTTTCAAGGTTCTTGGTTTCTTAGCATTGATTTAGAACATGTTCTTTTAGCTCACGGAAGTTTCTCATTACCCACCTTCTGAAGTCTGATTCTGTCATTTCATCACACTCATTCTCCATCCAGCTTTGTTCCCTTGCTGGTGAGGAGTTGTGATCCCTTGTAGGAGGAGAGGTATTCTGGTTTTGGGTGTTTTCCTCCTTTTTCCGCTGGTTTCTTCCCATCTTTGTGGGTTTATCCACCTGTCATATGTGTAGTTGCTGATTTTCAGATTGGGTCTCTGCGTGGATGTCCAGATTATTGATGAGGAAGTTATTTCTGTTTCTTAGTTTTCCTTCTAACAGTCTGGCCCCTCTGCTGTAGGACTGCTGAGGTCTATGCCACGCCCTGCTTGCCTGGGGTCACCTGCAGCAGCTGCAGAACAGTAAGGGTTGCTACCAGTTTCTTCTTCTGCTATCTTTGTCCCAGGATGTCCCAAATTGTCAGTCTGATCAGTCCTTTGTGGAGTGACTCTTTGGATATACGGGGATCAGGGAGCTGCTTGAGGAGACAGTCTGTCCTTTGTAGGAACTCACATGCTGAGCTATGAACTCCGTTGTTCATTCAGAGCTGCTAGGCAGCTACATTTAAGTCTGCTGCAGCAAAACTCATAAACCCCTTTTTTCCCAGGTGCTCTGTCCCGGGGAGTTAGGGCTTTATCTATTATGAGTATTCATTATGCTGCTGCTTTTTTTTTTTTTTTTTTTTTCAGGGCTGCCCTGCCCAGCAAGGAGGCAGCCTTGTCACTGTCTGCCTGTAGAGGCTTTGCTGAGCTGCTGTGGGCTCTGCCCTGCTGCCATGTGAACTTCCCTGCAGTCCTGTTTATATGGGTGTGGTTAGAACTGCCTCGGCAATGGTAGCCTGCCTCTGAAATGGCGGACTCTATCTGTTATGGCGGGTTGTCTCTGGAATGGCTGGCTGCCTCAGCAATGGAAGACTACCTCTGTAGGGGTGGAGTGCCTCAGTAATGGCGGACGCCCCTCCCCCACCGAGCTGCACCATCCTGGGTTCAGCTGTGCTTGCTGTGAAACTCTCAACCCCGAGCATTTCCAATTGCTGTTTTTTTGTTTGTTTTTGTGGGGGTGGGACCCTCTGAGCCTGATCACCTGGCTCCCTGTCTCAGAGCCCTTTTTTTTTTTTAAGTTGAATGGTTGACTCTCTCCCAGGTGTTCCAGTCACTTGCTGAAAGGGGGCCGGGATCTGTGTGATTACCTGTGCAGCGACCCACTGCACCAGCTGAAACAATGGCACTGCCCCAGAATCTCCTGGCCTGGCTCCCTGTTTGAGTCCCCTGTCTAATCAGATGAATGGGCGAATCTGCCTTCTTGGAGCTTCAATTGCCAGCTTAAAAAGGCAACCAGACCCGCGTATTTTGTACAAAGAGTCACCGCTCTGGGGCGCCAGCAAAACAGCTGCACCTGCCAAAACAGCTGCGCTGGCCAAAACAGCCACGCTGGCGACCCGTCGGGCTTCTCTGCTTGGGAATCTTCTGGTCTGTGGGCAATAAAGATCCGTCTGGAAATGCGGCATCCACTCACCCTCTGCACTTTCACTGGGAGCTGCAATCCTGCGCTGCTCCAAAGGGCCATCTTGGATCTTCCCAACTGTTTTTTTTTCCAAAAATTTTTTATCATTTACCCTATTTTTTTCCACCTTCTTAAGAAATTGCTGTATGTCCTGAAATTTAAGAACCTAGTTTCTAAAAAAAAAAAAGAACCTAGTTTCTTTTAATTTTGTAGTTTATATCTTATACTCTATCTCCAGAAGAACCGTAATTAAATATCCAAATGTTTTCAAGAATATCAAAATGGATTGGTTAAGATGTTATATTCACTCAACTACATAAGGAGATAATAATTTGAGTAATGTTAATTTTTTAAAATCTCTTGCATTTCCCTTTTGCTGTGTTGATAAGTTTAAGATGGGTAATCAAAAATATACTTAAAAACTGTTAGTGTTTTGAATGAATTTTTCTCTCTATCCATTTTTGTCAATCAGCATTTCACTTTGTAGTTTCCTCATTTCATTATAATCTACATTCAAAGTGAATTGCACTTTTAGTTCTATAATTGACCATGAAGATACTAATTTTCATGGCAGTTAAGTAGGATATTTCAGAGTTTAATGATCAGAACAAATTCTGTATTCGTTTGTTATATAAGATAATATAAACCCTAATTTCTCTGAAAGTTTTAACATTCAGAAGAATTAGCTTAATTGTGGCTAGAAGTAAGTACCAATGAAGTAAAGACATGATTACCTATTAATCAGTTTCACCAGTATCAGTAAAATGTGGTCCCTTATGATAAATGACTAATTCATGTTTAGAGTTTAGCTTGATTTTGTTTGTATATACTTTCTGTCTTTTGTTTGCCTTGTTTTAATGCTATCACTACTAATATGTACATGGTATGTACTTGTTTTCAGAAGGGGACCATCTGGACCAAGATTTGGACCTAGAAATGATAAAATTAAGCAGTAAGTTTTGTTTATTTGTTTAAATAATTAGCATGTTTCTGTGTAGACTAGAGACTGGTGAACTGCAGCCTGTGAGCCAAGTCTGGCTGCAGCCTGTTTTTGTAATTAAAGTTTTATTGGACATAGCCATGCCCATTTGTTTTCATATTATTGATAGGTACTTTCAAGCTACAATAGCAAAGTTGAGGAGTTGGCAGATTTTATGGCTCACAAAATCTAAAATATCTGCTAAGCGTCTGGTTCTTTACAGAAAAAAGTTGTTGACCCTGATGAAGACTAAATACAACTGCTGGGTTATAAAAACCTAATTCATCTTATTTTATATACTAAATATAACTGCTGGTTTATAAAATCTAAATTCTTTTTATTTTCTCAGAATTACAGCTAAGGAAATACAGGATTGTTGGGGTTTTTATAACTTGATTGCCTTATGTCAAATCCATTTATGTAGCATAGTATTAAGGTCTATTTTTGTTTTAAAATTATTATTTTCAGAATGATAATAAAGGTAATATAATTTGTTGATGTACAGCATATTTTTATCTACTTCTAGAATTTTTTCATGTATCTTATTTATCATAACTTATATATTGATCTAAGTTTTATGGCTAATTAATTTGTGGCTTAAAACCTTTGCTGTGTATACTATTTGGTGATATATGATAGGGATATGATGCTATAATGAATGTTGGAAAGATATGAGTACTGACAGGAGAGGAGAAGGAATGGACAGAGCAGTGAGTCATTTGAGGAAGGCTCTGGAACTGACCAAGCTATGAGTACCAATTGTGGAAGGTGAATTGCATGGCTCAGGTTCAAGACCTAAGGAGGGATAATAGTCACTACCCTAATCCTGGGTATAGATGGCACACTGTGGGAAGGGTTCTATAATGGAGTATCTAGTTATTGGTGAGATACTTGTGCTTTATTTAGGTAGCTGTTGGTGTAAAGAAGTATTTCCATACTTAGCCTAATTCTAACTCATGGATTTTGAGATACGGAACCAAAGAACCAACAAATGATTACAAGTACTAGACTGGGTGTATTCGTTTTCTATTGCCGTGTAACAAATTACCATGAATTTGGTAGCTTAAAACAACATACATTTATCATCTCACAGTTTCCTTGAGTCAGGAGTTCAGGCATTTCTTAGGTGGGTCTTTTACTCAGGTCTAACAAGATGGCAATCAATGTATCACCAGGTATGACCAACTCGGGTAGTTATCAGAATTTATTTTCTGCAGCTATAGATTTCATGATGCTTGCTTCTTCAAGGCCAGTAGAACAGAGAATCTGTACTGTTTCAAGTATCTGATTTGACTAGAGATATAACAAGCCTCTTTTAGATGCAAGTTATCACTTGCATAGTAAAAGGAAGAGTAGCCAAAGTTAGTAGCTCTCGGGGTCATTGACCTGCATACCAAAAATAATGATACAGCTCGGTGCAGTGTTTCACACCTGTAATCCTAGTACTTTGGGATTCTCCTTTAAATGAGGATTGCTTGAAGCCAAAGTTTTGAGACCAGCCTAAGCTTCAAAGTGAGACCCCTTTCTCTTAAAAAAAAAAAGGCAGGGGGGTGCCAATGGCTGCAGTACAAATTGTGGGGATACCCTATTGCAAGCAAAGGAGCTATTTCTAGACTGGTTTTTATAGTCTTCAGATGTAGCCTGCAGAAAGTTTATACCTCATCAGAACCTGGGAGGTGATAAGAAATTGTCTTATGTTAGTCTCAGAAGGGAAACGGAGGTGGATGGAAGAAGGCCTCGTGAGCCACTCATTCTCTCCTCTCAGGGAGATCACAAGCATTCCACCAATACTTAAATTAGCTGTAGTTCAAGCCTATATGGCTTATGTTTATGCCAGTGTGTAATGTCTGAGCCATTCTCCTGCACTGAGCCAGAGTGACTTTTGTGTCCACTCACATGTTCTCTCATACCTAAGCTGCCGCTGGAGAAGAGGGCTCCACTGATGACACAACTATTTTTTGTCCTGCCAGTATGCTTTGTTTCCTGTCTGATATCCTTCTGAAGAGTGAACCTAATAAGGATTGTTGCCAATTGGGGTCTTTTGATTTTCCAGCTGAATCCCCAAACCACCACCAGTTTTATAGAATAGGCATTAAATAATACATGTCTGTTAGTAAATGCCAAACACACATGAATTCATACCTGTGTACTTATGCATTAAACTATTAATATAACAACTTTGGTGATCACAGAATTTTAAAATAGTAAGGGATTAAGTATAGTGTTTCTTTTTTTTTTTTTTTTTTTTGAGACGGAGTTTCGCTCTTGTTACCCAGGCTGGAGTGCAATGGCGCATTCTCAGCTCACCGCAACCTCCTCCTCCTGGGTTCAAACGATTCTCCTGTCTCAGCCTCCCAAGTAGCTGGGATTACAAGCATGTGCCACCATGCCCAGCTAATTTTTTTTGTATTTAGTAGAGACGAGGTTTCACTATGTTGGCCAGGATGGTCTCGATCTCTTGACCTCGTGATCCACCCACCTCAGCCTCCCAAAGTGCTGGGATTACAGACATGAGCCACCACGCCCGGCCCAAATACAGTGTTTCTTACTCTAGAGCTGAAAGCTTGCTGGATTTAGTTAGAAGAAAGTCATTGATCAAGCATGCAAATTAAACCTTGATGAATGCTTATCTAAGCAGGGCATGACTCCCCAGTGTGCCCAAGATGGAGGAGCACAACTTGCCACAGAACTTACCCTAAGACAAATCTCTGGCATTACTTTGATACCCAAAACTGCTAACACTGGTCAGTTTTTTTAGTTAAGCTGTTATTACCACTTAATTTATAACATTTCTATACAGTATTTCCTACTGCATAGATTAGTAACATAGTTGCTTTCTTTGAACTTGATTGACCACAATTATTAATGTTGATAACAGATTAATTCTACAAAAAAAATACCTGACATCACTTCTTAAGAAAGACTTTTCTTGAGGAAAATTTTTAAATATTCACATGCCTACATAAAATTTATGCTTCTCTTTGGAATGTTTCCTTTGCTTTTTAAATTTTGTTTTGTGTTTAAAGAGAGTTTATTCAAGCATAAAGTATAAGGATGGACCACCTGGAAATACCAGCTCCAAAGGAATGAAGTTTGTGTTCCAAAGTAAGGAAGTTAAGATTTCATTTATATAAGCAGACAGGAATTTTTAGCAGGATTACATTTCTTTGCTTTTAAGTTAAACAATAGCATTATAAATGCCACTCTAGTAAATTGTAGACATTCTGTGTTAGGGGTAGGGAAACTCCTAACTATAGCCTTGGTCAGACCAGCTTAACTTTTATAAGATTCCCTCCCCCAACTCCCACCCCAGGGAATGTTGCACGGTGTAACAGCAATATATATATAGTTACAAAAATTCAGCCCAACTTTAAAACTTCTTTTGTCAGCAGTACCTTAAAAGACCAGAAGATGGGGATATTAACTATGAAAATAAATATTTTCTTTCTTTGAGGAGTTTGTTTTTGAAAGAGGCCTTGCTCTGTCACCCAGGCTGGAGTGCAGTGGCACAGTAACAGCTTACTGCAGCCTCAAACTCCTGGGCTCAAGTGATCTTCCACCTCAGCTCCTGAGTAACTGGAAACTTCAGGCATGCATCACCATGCTCAGCTAATTTTTTATAGAGACAGGGTTTCCCTCTGTTGCCCAGACCGGTCTCAAACTCCTGGGCTCAAGGGATCCTCCGACCTCAGCCTCCCAAAGTGCTAGGATTACAGACATGAGCCACTGCACCTGGCGAATGTTTTCTTTATAAAAATGAGTGTATATTGCAAAGTGTGAACTTTTTTCTTAACCAAAGAGCACTGACATTTATCAAGTATGTGCTATGTGTTAGGCACTATGCTAAGTGTTTGAAAAACACTATGGCATTTAATTCTCACAAAAAAGGTAGAGATTATCATCTTCATTTTAAAGGTGAGAAAATAGGAGGCTAAAACAGTCTTGCAAGGTGAATTCCAAAGTCACATAAGTAGTAAGTGATACAGGTGTATTGCAAACCCAGGTCTGTCTGAATATAGAACCCAGGGGCTCTATACACTATAGCATACAGCTTCTCTGTTGGTAATTGGAATAGAGCCATTTTAGGAACACAGGTGCTGTCAGACTCTAAGAGGATTTAAAACAGTATTGAAAATGTCTTTTCCTCATGTTCGTTCTCATGTCTTTTATTCTCCCATGTGAATCGCCTTTAACTGGCCATGATATAAAATCTCCACCCTTCCTTCACAAACTTGTTCTTCCTTTGAGTTCTTATTTTCTTATTTTAGTTAATAGCCATCATCTACTACCACTTAGTTGCTCAAATTATAAATCTAAGCATTATCTACTCTTTTTTTCTTTCCAATTCCTTCACCCACATCCAGTTAATCTCCTAGTTCTTAAAATATTACCTCCTCTTACATATATTTCCTTATCCTAGAACTTCCTCACCATTCACTACCTCCTTTACTCTACCTGATTAACTCTTGTCTCCTCAAAATTCAGCACAGGAGTCTTAATGTCATCTCTGGTCCAGGCTGAATTCATCTAGCCTACATGACTGATACTATGGGCTTCCTTCTATTATATCCCTTAACACCTGGTAGTATAATCATGAATATACGTTTTACCTACTGGAGTATAATCTTTCTAAATATCAGCCTCATAACCTTCACATTGGTAACCTTGATGAATAGCATAGTTTTTTTTTTCTTAGAGACAGGGTCTCACTCTGTCACCCAGAGTAGAGTGCAGTGGTACAATCTCAGCTCACTGCATCTTCCACCTCAGGAGGATCCTCCCACCTCAGCTTCCTGAGTAGCTGAGACTATAGGCATGCACCACCATGGTTGGCTAATTTTTGTTTTTTTTGTAGAGATGAGGTTTTGCCATGTTGGCCAGGCTGGTCTCAAACTCCTGGGCTCAAGCGATCCTCCCACTTCAGCCTCCCAAAGTACTGGTATTACAGCCCTGAGCCACCACACCTAGCCGTA